TCGGCATCGTATTTTCCGTCCTTTGTTAAAACACTTCCTAGATATTTAGTACTTGTTTAATTTTGGTGTCTCCAATTCCTAGTTTGCGTCTTGGGCTGTTCCTCATTCTGACAACCACATACTCTGTCTTCGGTAAGAGTTATTGCTTTTCTTTATTATCAGTAAATTGACATGACAAAGATGGGGTAATGCTTTCCCGTTGCCTCCAGTAAAGTTCTGAATTCAGAGTTGTCCTTCTCCTAGGCTCATTATCACTCAAGACTAGAAATCACAATCAGCTTTTCTATTTAACCCAAAGCAGAGGGGGAGAGAAGGAATGGATTCATACTTTTCTAAAGGCATTAGTATGAAAGTGAACGTAAGCCAGACATTTAACTCGGCTCCCCGATTCCACTTTTCGCGACGATATTAGTTACTTTGCCCAAACATCCTACATACGACATTAAAGAGTCTTCTTTGTGTTTTGTAATCATTTCTGTACAAGCGGTGCATTGTTCTGCTGAAAGTTGTCACTGCTGTTTTACAATATTGTTACCAAGAAGAATGGTTTCTGTTTTTCGGGGAGATTAAGATAGTTGGTAGACGACAAATTACTCCCCCACATGAGTCACAAAAAGCATTTTTTTTCTATTAGAACGTTGTCTAAACCATCACACTGCTTCAGCTCTGAACGCTCATAATCTTGAACTGACACTCGGCCGGCCTTGAAATGCGAATAACACTCAGAAAGACGTGTTCAACTTGAATTAATTATTAAGCCGCCAAATGTTTTTTTTTCAAAGTATTTATTACAAGCAAATCAGCTTATTTAGATTCCATTGATTGGTATGCGAAATTGAACGAAACGTATGGTTTGTAAATCTCGACAAAAATGTTAGCGACAAATTCAGCAATACTAAATACTGTGAGGATTTCAGCACGCTGACGCATGTTGCTCCCAATAATTCTAATATAAGAAAAAACACATTATTAAGGAGTAAGAACAATAAAAGAAGAAGAATTTTTCCAAAAGCCTGACGAAGTACTTCAAGGGGCTCGGTAGAGATTTTAACACAAAATCTAATGCAAGAACGTTGCTCGTACTTGTTACTCATCGTAAAAATTGCAGAGTCGTTGCAACATAATGTTACAAAAAAATTACGTAATTATTGAACGCGATCAGACAGTGCCCAGCCTATTGGCAGACTGACTCAGTAGACTGGGTACCAATGAACGTTATGTGTGCGCGCAGTACAATCAGAATACTTTTTCGATATTTTAATTTCTAGGGAAAAAAAAATCTTTCTTTTCTCTGTTCCTTCAATTACAATCAATTTCCCTTAATAAGCATCAGGCATTAAAACGATTTCATACATTCACGCCATCTGGCGATTTGCAAGGTTGATTACATCGCCATCATTTGGCGTTCTGCGTCTATGAAACATTGTCACATGATGCTTATGGCCCAATCATGACTGAGCCTGAAGAATCTTTTTTTTTTCTTTTCTTTTATGCTTAGTGCCCTCTAAGGGCTTGTTTCTTTCAGTGTCAATTTACTACAACCAGTATCGGTTTCCACGATTTTTGAAAAGCACATTGGCACCTACCCTGCATTTCCCTAATAACAACCAATCGTATTACGTCGTGTTTTACCGGCTTGGGGGCTTGGGAGCATCGTATTCTTTCGACCCCATACACGAGGGTCATAAGTAAATTACATTTTAAATAGGCGTCGGGTATTAATGGTAATTGAAAACTGAGTCTCGTATGTTGCGTATTTTACGTCTAATGTTTTAACACGGGAACGGTAAAAACATTTACAACGGATCCTATATCCGCGGGTCCCATTGCTACGGTTTCAGTTATTCGCGACGAACATTATAAATAATAATAAAAAAAATAATTGGTTTATTAATAGTCTCAAAGCGCAAAAATTATGGCGCTGGCTATTCGGAGATTCTAATGAGAAATTGTAAAGTGTTTCCTTTAAGTTTAAAAAAAAAAGATTTATTGGCTTACTAATCCGAGTATATTTTTTTAACATTTCATAACAAGCAAGGCAATAATACCACTAAGACGGAAAGAGCGTTAGAGAATCTATATATAAAATTCTTTGACTTCCGTTAATCCGTCTGTCACACCCTGTAAAATATCGATACATTGACTGATTAAAATCAGATTTGGGAAAGAAGTTCGAACAGCTAAGAGTGTACAACATACATTTGGTCTTACTAGGGTGCGTGATTTTTATTTTGGAAAAATTAAGCGTTTTTATTACTTAATCTAAAAAATACTCTCACTATTTAATATACAATACAAAATACTCCCACTATTTTAAAAAGAAATAATAATTAAAATAATAAATACTTATTTAATACAAATGCAATATTGTTTTTTGAAGATCTTCTCTTTAAGTTTATATATATATATATATATATATATATATATAAAGAAAGAAAGAACAGTAAGATATATAATCCGGTATTCTTATTGATATTTTTTATTTTTATTTTTACAAAACAGTCCTCAATGTAAATTTACAGAGCATAAATATTATAAATTAACTGATTTAAAATATGTTTTTCGCTACACAGTAATAACCATGTTTCAAAATGGAAGCTAAAAACTTCAAATTTAATTATAGAATTAAATTAAAAGCATTAGTTCCGTTTCATCTACAAGCAAATATTGGAATAACTTATTTTTAAATTTACTGAGTTTTAAACGCACATGTAAATTCATAATTTCCTGTTTCCAAGGATACAGAGAAATCCACTCATATAGACAGGGGCGGTAGCGTGTTCATTTTTATTAACTATTGTTGTATCAATTATGAGTTACGTTCGAAAAAGTGGTTAAGTTTAGGGAGGGTAGGGGTGTATTTTTCAACGAATTCTGACATCCGTTGTATGCATGTCGTCAGGGTTTGTTTTTTTTTTATCAGCAAAAAGTTTTTCGGCATTTTTTTGTACTTGTATAATTAAATATTCTATCATGGATTGTTTGGGTTAGAATACTTTTTATTTAACTACAATTTCAAATATGTTTACTCTTAATTACTAATAGACTATATTTCTATTTAAAACAAGTAAATGTAATAGAATTACTTAAATTATTTAAAATTTTTACATATCAAATCTAAGTATGTATAATACCAGCTCCCATTTTTTTATTTTTAAGTATTATTTAAGGAAAAATTTTTGACAATGACGGCAAAGAATAGCTATTTCATTTCTTTGATTCAGTAAATTTTTATTTTTTATAAACGTAGCAATATATAGTTTCTCATGTATGCACAAAGGTCATGGGTCATTTAATGACCGACATAAACGTTGTAATAAATATGGCAACAAAGATGAGGACAATAGTCCGAATAATGTAAATGGTGTACATAATACCTCATCTCAGAAATATAAACCAATGCTAAAGGCCCGAAACGTTGTAATGAATATGGCGGCAAAGATGAGGACAATAGTCCGAATAATGTAAATAGTGTACATAATACCTCATCTCAGAAATATAACAGATACTAATGGGCCGAAACGTTGTAATAAATATGGCGACAAAGATGAGGACAATAGTCCGAATAATGTAAATAGTGTACATAATACCTCATCTCAGTAATATAGATAGATACTAAAGGGCCGAAACGTTGTAATGAATATGGCGACAAAGATGAGGACAATAGTGCGAATACTGTAAATAGAAGACGGAAAGATTATGATACGGCGATGGAAAAGTGACTGAAGGCGAGATGCCAGGTCAGAATCAATAAAATTGCAGATTCTTCTCTGGATTTTATCAAGATTTGCTAAATATATAGCAGGAGCACCAGACCAGGTGTACCAGCAATTTTCAAAGCAAGAACGAATGGTAGACTTATGGATACGTAAAAGAGATTCTGATAAAATAAATTGTCTAGGACGACACTGGGAACCAATTATCCTAGCAGCAGATCTAGCAATATAATCTTTCCACTTTTTATCAGCGGAAAACGTTAACCCGAGAAGGCGGAATGAGTCACTCTCCTGGGGGTTAGCATCAGCCATGCTGATGGAAGGTAAAAAGTCTTCTCTCAGACGATTAAAAGATAGCAGTTTCGTTTTGGAGGCATTAAAATTAGCAAGCCATTTCTTACCCCAGTTAACAAAGACGTAGATCATTTTTTCGGTCAGCTTTATCAAACCGCAGAAAGTATGCCTGTCTGTTAGGATGACTAGCTAAACCCCGTTACAGACGCAGATTTAAGTTTCAACACCTACAAAGCAAAGCTGGGATTTATACTGTAAGTATGCTAAGCGAATCTTAATTACAATTTCTGAGAAAGAGAGAGCGAAAGAGAGAGCGAAAGAGAGAGGAGGGGTGCATAATTTGGTGCGATGACGAGTATGAACAAGGACAGTCGGTTACGATGACTTCTGACTGCGTGCTAAGAACACCAACGTTGGCTTCTGAAGAGTTTCGACTACCCAGTTTCGCTCACAAGGTTTGGGTCAACTCGCCGTATGGTTTTCATGTGACGCAAGTTGAGATTGTCTTCCCAGGACGATATTATCAAGCTCAGTCCATCCTTCAAATCTATAAATCAACCATTTGTCCTTGCATGGAATATTGACAAATTGTGAAACTCGAATCTCAAGGTTGGAACTCTAACGTTGTAACCACTCAGTCACGCTCGACTTAATAAGGAAAGTAAAAATTGTATGCAGAAATTGCTAAGATCCACTAAGAACGAATATTTAATGCGTAACCTAACTTTATATATTGTATATTGCTTTAATTGCAAGTAGCGTAACTATGAAAGTGGAATCAGTGAACCGGGCCGGTCTGTTGTGTTCACTTTCGTACTAATACCCTTGGACAAAGCAAGAATCTATCTCTTCTCCACCAGCTATGTTTTAATAGCAGTGTAGACCAGGTTCTCTAGCCTTGAATGGCAACCGTCTAAAAAAAAAAAGTAACAAAACTGGTCTACTATTTTCCACAAAGAACGGATAACAATTCATAGATAATAAGGAGGTTTACGGCCACATCAACTTGAAACACCGGTTTCCGTACGACCATCGAAGTTAAGCAACGTCGAGCCTGGACGGGTGACCGCTTGGGAATACCAGTTGCTGTAAGCTTGAATGTGCGGGTGGTCTAATGTATATTGGCTCAGAATTGTTAATCGGAGAGCCGAGTTCGAATTCCCATTGGGTTCGTTATATTCACTTCTGCGCAAAATACCCTTGTAAAATTTTCTCCTCCAGATATGGGTTAATTAGTAAGAATTGTATCACTTAAATCATTGTTATCTCTTCCCACCAAAAACAATTCTTACATTCTAAAATATTTTCTGGCTTGAAATAATAATAATCTGCAAAGTGTTGATAAGCCGTAGAAAACGCATCAATCAAGATAATTAGGTAAAAAGAATCTATGAATAATATATATATATATATATATATATATATATATATAATCTATGGAGAGCCATGATCAATTACGCCAATGAAAGACATGGCATTTTTAAAAAATCTACACCTCTGTATATCTCAATCAGTTCAAGTCTTAGTCTGTCCCTTCATTGCTTGCTCGCTTTCTTCCTTCCTCCATTAATTCCTATCTATCTAGCCATCTCAGTATGTTCATATCTGTCTATTTATGTATCTATCTACATATTTATATTAGGCTATTCATATCCATCTGTTCATATGCTAGTGTGACTACGCTACGATAAACATCAGATCCCGCCTAACGTTCCCTGAACAAATTTACTTTTTATATTCACTCAATCACATTAGACTCAATAAGCATTGACAAACACGAAAGCCAAACAGTTCAACAACACATTATTTTTGAATACATCATTCTTATTGTAGGCGCCAGGCCGCCAGTCTTGCTCACTCTTTAAACGAAGTTGCAAATCGGCTCCATATTTCATTATTAAGGTGTTAAAAAAACTCAGTCGCACAAGACAGGCAAACCCTCCCACGCACCTACACACACGCACACATACACACAAGGGAAATAAATACGCACATACTAATAAATATCAGAGACACATACGCGCATTGATATCCGAAGTGCTACCCTAAATTTCAAGACAAGGCGCGAAATCGCTTTCTCAAAGAAAAAATGGCCTTAACGTCTAAATTTTGGCTGTCATGCAAGAACGAGTAATATGACAACGCTTTCATGCCTTTTGGGACACGCTCAACCCAGACCTCATACGATCTATCCCTAAAGATTCTTAAAAAATCGTCGGCTCCCTGCAGCGCTGCAGTAAGTACCTGACTCCCCCTGCTATCCTCTACCCTTACAAGTGATAAATCAGACTGATAATGGAGTACTACTATCATATGGGTAGGAGCTGCTTTAGACTTCCCTTTCCAGTATTGAGAAAGTTCAAAAGAACGCAGCCTTGCGGGTGATGAATTATTTTCCACCTTACAACTCCTTTCCCCATAGACGAAACGTTGCAAGCCTCTTGCTGCTCTATTGGTATTTCCATGGAATGTGTTCAGATGAAGTACATTCCTCAATTCTACCCGTTCGAACCTTCACATCTAACACCCGCCATTCTACGCACATTGTAGCGAACCCCCCTCATCCCCTTCGTATACTATTGGTAAGAATTAAGTTCTACTCAAACAGCTATCTATTTTGTGGAACAAATTTCCAAGAGGGTGCTTCCTCGATCACAACAATCTTAACCTGTCCAGATCTAGGGTTGATATATATCTTCCCTACACACCCTCATAAACTGTGCCTCTTAGTCGGTAACGCTCTATTGCGAGTGTCTCTTGGGCTTGTACAGAGTGGACATTATTCTTTTTTTTTTAATCTTTTAAATACTTTTCAGTCATTCTCACAAATTAATTCTAATTCAGTTCTGATGTCGTATCTATCAAAAATGCCTTTTAGTCTTTGCTTTACAACTGTATATTTTTGGTATTTTCTTTCGACATCTTTGCCTTGTTGCATTTACTCTAAAATCATTTCAGTGATGGCTTGCACCAGGCGCAGTCCATTCGTCATTTAGTCAGTTAGACTCTTTTTCTGTTCGGCAATTTGTCCCTATACCTTCCCTACACACCCTCGTAAACTGTGCCTCTTACTCGGTAACGCTCTACTGCGAGTGTCTCTTGGGCCTGTACAGAGGGGATATTATTCTTTTTATTGAATCTTTTAAATACTTTTCAGCCATTCCTACAGATTAATTTATGTTCTTTTGATTTTTACTACAAGAGACGGGAAAATCATTCGACTGTTTATGACATTGCATAGCTGACCCAACAAGTTTAATTTGGATATATTTTACCGATTATTTTTACGAATTATTGTACGATGCCTACATTTTTTACTACTGTGCCGTCTCTTTCTTTCAACCCCTCGCTTCATTCCCTCCATCTTTCTCTCTCTCTCTCTCTCTCTCTCTCTCTCTATATATATATATATATATATATATATATATATATATATATATATCCTCGTGACATTGCAAACATTCAAAACTTAGAATTCAAAAACATCGCAAATATGGAATCTCTCACTAAACGAACTTTGAATTTAATTTAATTTCTTTCATCATTTGAAGACTTTCAGTAGCAGCAACAATTAAAATGAATATCACGTGTAACTCAAATAATGACTTGAGATTTATATTCGTACTGTTGTCCTCATCTTTGTTGTCGTTATCACTACCTGTGTGTGTGTGTGTGTGTTTGTGTGTTTGTGTGTGTTTGTGTTAGTGTGTAGGATAACCGATATGTGCAGTAAGTTTTAACAAGTGTGCTGCATGTTTCGCCTATACAAGTATTTAATGCTGTTTTTTATTGTTGATATTAGAAATGCAATCTCCTAGAGAGCATGAGAATTCATAGACATCATTTTTTATACAAAATTATTACGTAATAATTATGTTACATTTTCTTTAACTTTTTATAGTAAATGATAAAACTAAGGTGCTCGTTAAGATAGATAGATAGATAGATAGATAGATAGATAGATAGATAGATGTCAATATCTTGATTATGTCATTATTTTCTCTTTGAGTTACATATGCTATCCGTTTTAGCTGATGCTGCTGTTGAAAGTCCTCAAGTGATGTCGTTCCTGCTATTTGGTATTTAACAGATTAGGATATAGATAGATAGATAGATAGATAGATAGATAGATAGATAGATAGATAGATATGAACAGACAGAGATGTATATAACAAGCGGAGATAGATAGATAGATAGATAGATAGATAGATAGATAGATAGATAGATAGATAGATAGATAGATAGATATGAACAGACAGAGATGTATATAACAAGCGGAGATAGATAGATAGATAGATAGATAGATAGATAGATAGATAGATATGAACAGACAGAGATGTATATAACAAGCTAGGATAGATCGATCGATCGATAGATAGATAATGAAAAGACAGATAGATAGATAGATAGATAGATAGATATGAACAGAGATGTATATAACAAGCTAAAATAGATAGATAGATAGATAGATAGATAGATAGATATGGACAGACAGAGATGTATAACAAGCTGAGATAGATAGATAGATAGATAGATAGATAGATAGATAGATAGATAGATAGATAGATAGATATGAACAGAGATGTATATAACAAGCTAAAATAGATAGATAGATAGATAGATAGATAGATAGATAGATAGATAGATAGATAGATAGATATGGACAGACAGAGATGTATAACAAGCTGAGATAGATAGATAGATAGATAGATAGATAGATAGATTCTAGAAGACCAGAATGAGGCAGATAATTAAATGCTACGTTACAGCACAGACGCAAAAGGATAAACAATTGCACATTATCTGGTTGAGTTTCTGAAGCGAGAAAAAGACTATGACAGGAGAGAAGCAGAAGTCTTAAGATATATCAAAAAAGGATAGAAAGACAAAAGAAGTGGGGAAAAATGAAAAGAAATAAGAAAAGAGACACTAGAATGAAAGGAAGAAAGAATGTAAATAAATACGCGTTAATGCCGGGGTGGGGCTAGCGGGGGCGAGACCGGGTAGGTAAGAGGGTAAGTCAGCGTGAAAGGCCAAATTGTTGTTGGTGTTAACTCGTGTGTGGTTTTTCGGCACGACTCTAATGTATTTTGTGTGTGGGTCCGATCAGACGTGACTAGAGGTGGGCCAAAGTTAATCAAGTAAACACGGTCATAATCCATTTCTTTTTAGTATCAATACAAGCTCCTCTTCTATCGCTCGCTGCCCCCACCCTCGCCAGTCTCTTCATACACTGCAGGCCACACCGACACACAGCACAATAGGTTCACACCTATTATCGCTACCCTCATTTTTTTTTTTTTAAAAACATTTATTTATTTATTTTTGACGGTCCCCTTAGCTTTTTTACCCACTCCCCAGTAACCACTTTCCGAACAGGACAGGAAACTGTGGAGAGCCATGATCGCCTACGCTGACGTGGCACATAAAGAAGAATAATCACACACGACTTCAGATCTCTATAAAAAAAAAATATTTGTGGGTATAGTGATTTTCTAAGCGTACTTCAAATCTGCCACAAGACTGAAAGTATGGGGAGCCTTGTGAGGATTGAACAATATACAGTCGTAATTGATCTAGCGAGACAATGTATGTATAAACATTGTTGGTTCGACTTTATGTTCAAATATTAATACAAATCCTGTTGGTGGAACCTCTCCCTGATTGACCATATCTTCGGGGGTTTAAACGTACTCAGCACACTTAGCCAATTACGAGTTAGTGAGGCTAGTTAGGGTGGATCGCCGTTGACTCTGAGGAGTTCATCCGCCTTTTAACAGATGATGTTTTTGTGCTGCTGGGGTTCCATTTAACCCTCCTTGGTCTGGTGAGTGAGCTGGTTTAGTCGCTAACCACTCGACAACTCAAGTTCTGAATTCAGGGTTAACTGTCTCTTTTATATCAGCATGAAGCTATTTAGATATTAGATATTTTATTCCGTAAGCCTGGCTTAGTCTGATACAAAGCTACGCGTCGTTTACTATACATGAGATTTCTAGATAGTCGCCCATCTAAATACGGTTCGTTTTGCTTCTACAGAAAGGGCTTGACTTCTGCCTTGCTTTACCTTTACAGCATTACCACATAGAACATTTTCTGCCTACCATCAGTATGACTGATGATAAACTTCAGGAGAGCAATAATTATCCGCCTTCTTAGCCTCATGTTTTTAACTGATATGAAGTGGAGTGTTTATATCGAATCAGCAGCTACGTCTACAGCGTTGAGCCAGAACATTTTCCTGTCAGAACCCATCTGACAAATTTATGAATCTACCATTCGTCATGGCATTGAATACTGTTGCACTATCTGGTCCGGTGCTCCTACTGTATATCTCGCGGTTCTTGATAAACTCCAAAGGGTCTGATGTGGTCTTAGGGAGGATGCCAACAAGGAGGAGGCTTATATTTAACATCAGAAAGAGGCAGCTGAAGTTTCTGGGACACATAATGAGGAAGGAAGGCCTGGAGAATCTGATACTCACTTTTACTCTAACAGTTTTTCTCGCACTTCCAACATGTGGAACTCTCTCTCTCTCGATTTCTTGCTTGCCTGATGGAGTAAAATCTTTAATAATTTAAATGCAATGTCAGTCGTCATCTTCTGTCTTCTTGAAACCTGTTCCCTTTTTTTCCCTTTCTTCAGTCCTCTCCAGTCTCAGTCTTCTCATTCTCATTCACTTTCACACCCTGTAACCCTCTGCGTTCTAATGGCATTATCGCTTTGCTTGGGGTGAATCGATTAAAAAACAAAAGAATCAGATCAAAGCAAAAATGGAGTATTGCTTCCATATTTGGGCTGGAGCTGCACAATCCTCTCTTTCCAGCTTTGAACTGAGTTCAAAATCGTTTACACGGCCTTGTAAAGGTATGATATATTCCCCACCCAAAACCACTTTCCCACGGTTATGGCATCGTAAGCCTGTCTCTATTCTCTTGCCATTTCAATGACAACTGTTCGGACATGCTCCATTCTTTACTTCCATCAGCTTAGATAAGACCTGTCATACTATATTCACGGAGTCGAAGCACCTTCATTCCCCTCGTATTCCAAATGTAAGTGGTCAGATCCAGTCAAACAGCTCTATCATAAAATCCTCTACTTTGTGAAACCGACTCCCGTGTTGATGCTTCTTGATGAAGAAGTTTCCTATTGTTTCTTTTTAATGTCTGTTTTAATAGCATTGATTAAATTTTGTTTCTCTAATATTTCTAAATATATCAGAAATGAAATGGGTATTTCATAAATATTCGGCAATTGTTTATTTTTTTTAATTATATTTTCGTGACTAATGACTGTAAAAATTGTCCAAAAGTATGTTAATCACGACCGCTTTCGGCTAAATTATTTACCATTTTCATAGAATTTGTTGTATGTTTATATGTTATTATTATTTCATTAGTGGATTAACTCCATTTTAATATTGTGCTTTTATTACAATACTCTGGGCCGATGTACATTTTGGTCATCAGAGCACCTTCAGACAAGCGAGTGTTCCAAGCGGCGTATCGAATCGGAAATGAAAATGTAGAAGGACAACTGCTTAGTGAGCTGGCACCACAACACAGCCAACATGGCAATTATTTGATAACAATGCGAAAGATGTCCACTACAAAATGGATTCTCATCCTTTGCGGGATCGATTATAATATATATAAATATATATAACGTCATCCACAGATAGACTTTTTCGCTGTCTACAGCTCATCAGTGTGGCTAGACATCCGGTTGCCTCTAGCTAGGATCGAAACCCGACTGAATTGGAGCTTCTAACCACTAAGCCGTCGGCGCACGGTAGGGACGAAAGTGGATTTTTAGCATATATATATATAATAGAAAGTGGTGTGTAATGATATTCTTTTTTAGTGTTGCAACGTCTTCTAAATGACATTCTTTACTGGTTTAAACGACCTACTAAGTCTGCCGTGCGGACCTCACAAGCCACTACCGGTCCTATATCAAACGTGCGTACCTCTAATGATTCCATGTTCGTGGGACTAATCCATCGTATGACATATATATATATATATATATATATATATATATATATATATATATATATATATATATATATATTGTGCATATTTAGCATGTTTTATTAAATAATATACACAAGTTTTGTCTATTTATTTTAAGTAAGTTCCTTTCATATTGTCTGATAAGCTTAATCACATTATCATTGAAAGACGAAAGGAAAACACAATACTGATAAATGTTTAAATCCAATCTAAGCTTTCGGCTTATATAAGCCATTATCAAAGATGACAATTTCAATAAATCAAACAACACATGGACGAAACAACAATGATAGTACGCCCTTGCTGCATGGATTGGATTTAAACATGTATCAATATGGTGTTTTTCTTTCGTCTTTCAATAATAATGTGATTTAGCTTATCAGACAATATGAAAGGAACTTAAAATAAATAAACAAAACTTGTCTATATTATTTAATGAAACATGCATTAGTATACATATATATATATATATATATATATATATATATATATATATATTATGTTTATAAGTTCTTTTTATAGATAAAACATTTCAAAATGTGTGACGTCATTTGTTTACATTTGGATACGAATCGAGCAGATATGAATGTACGTGAGAAAATCATGGAAAATCGTACTTTAAGAACAGTAAAATGCCTTGCTATACGAAACGCTCCTCTGTGGCTCAATCGGTAAAAGCACGTCAAGCTATATGACGGTTCCGCATAGGGTACAGGTTCGATTTCTGTTGGAGGACGCATATTTTCTATGAAAATTTCTCGGACATTCAGGCCGATAAATGTCATTAATACTGTTTATTATAAACGGAGCATTTGCTTAAATATTTGTATCTATAAAAACAAAGTATAAACATAAAAAATGACTTAAAAAATAATTGTCGGCCTTTGTCCATTTCATTATATATATATATATATATATATATATATATATATTTTAAATTTGAGAATCAGACGGAATGGTAAATAAATGACAATTTAGAAAACTCTCATTTTTTATGATTCGCTGATCAAAGAGCTTCATCAGAAAAAGCGAATTTTATTTCATCGAAATCTACACTGGAGAGGCAGGCTTTTTCAATAAAAACAATTGCCCCTAGAAAAGCAAAATGACATATTGTTTGTCTAAATGAAGACCCTCCTCGAGGTAAGATGTTTAACCAATTCGGGGTTGATTAGAGCATCTAGAACATTACGAAAAAGAGGTATACGGATAATGTAAATAGTGTACATAATACCTCATCTCAGAAATATAGACAGATACTAAAGGGCCAAAACGTTGTAATAAATATGACAACAAAGATGAGGACAATAGTGACGAAAGACAAATTGACGAATGATTAAAATGACGAATGGATAAAAAGTCCATTATTTACATTATTCGGACAATTGTCCTCAGCTTTGTTGCCATATTTATTACAACGTTTCGGCCGTTGTACGATCCGGCCTTCTTCAGGTGGATGGCCGGAGCGTGCAACGGCCGAAACGTTATAATAAATATGCCGGCAAAGATGAAGACAATAGTCCGAATAATGTAAATAGTGTACATAATACCTCATCTCAGAAATATAGACAGATACTAAAGGGCCAAAACTTTGTAATAATTATGGCAACAAAGATGAGGATAATAGTCCGAATAATGTAAATAATGTATATAATACCTCATCTCAGAAATATAGACAGATACTAAAGAGCCTAAACGTTGTGATAAATATGGCAACAAAGATGAGGACAATAGTGACGAAAGACAAAATGACGAATGGATAAAATGACGAATGGATAAAATGTCGAATGGCAAAGTGCCAAACGAAAAAAAGTCGAACTGACTAAATGATAAAAGGCCAGAAATATGCCTAAAATAGAAAACCTTTTTATTCAGCATGCAAAAATCATGCCGGTAAATAATTATTTTTAAATTTTAAACTAATATAAAAACCTCAGATGAAAAAAAAAAAATCTACATAATTGCTAATTTTGTCAACAAGGATCTGCATTCAAATTACAGTAAAGAATTATAATTTTTATTCATGAGAAATTACAATTATGGTAAGAATAAAAATATTTTTATTTATTTATGGGGAAAATACAATTGTAATCTTACTTATTATAAAACGCAGATTGTGTGTGTGTCTGTTCGTTTATATATTGGATCGAATTTCCTACATTTTTCAACCGATTTCAACAAAACTTCACAGGACTGCATAAAATTACCTTGCAGTGGATCTGACAGCGCCCCAAATTGGAAAAACACAATTGTTTTTGCACAAAATCAATTTGAAAACACGATTCTGTCGCCAGAATGAAAGGGGGGCAATTCATATCGAGTTACACTTATTATAAAACCCAGGTTGTGTGTGTGTGCGTGTGTGTGTGTGTGTGTGTGTGTGTGTGTGTGTGTGTTTTGTGTGTATGGGATCGTTTATTATGGGATCCTTTCCTACATTTTCAACCGATTTCAACAAAAACTTCACTTTTTTTTTGGCAGGTAGTGTTTCTTCGTGTTTCTGTCTTGCACACTTTTTTCTTTATTTTTACATTCAGAATGTTTTAAAAATTCCATTTACAGGACAACTGTTTATAATAAAATTCTATTCAATCGGTAGGCTCCTAACGATTGAAAACAATGTTTTTGTTTGAGTTTGGGTTTGACTAATTCGTAAAAAAAACTAAAAAAAAAAAAAAAAACAATAAAAAAACTAATTAAGACATGCGTGTCCGTAAACCTTAAACAATAATCTTTGTCAATTTTATTTTTCAGTCTTTATGATGGTCGATACTTGATCTATCTCTTACTGTTACATCCCCTGGCAACGCCGGGTTCTACTGCTAGTACAATATAATTAAGGATTGTGAGCAATGGCTTTAATTTCCATGGAATGTGTTCAGATGAAGTACATTCCTCAATTCTACCCGTTCGAACCTTTACATCTAAGACCCGCCATTCTACTCACATTGTAGCGAACCCCCCTCATCCCCTTCGTATACTATTGGTAAGAATTAAGTTCTACTCAAACAGCTTTCTGCCATGAACATCTATTTTGTGGAACAAATTTCCAAGAGGGTGCTTCCTCGATCACTACAATCTTAACCTGTTCAGATCTAGGGTTGATATATATCTTCCCTACACACCCTCGTAAACTGTGCCTCTTACTCGGTAACGCTCTACTGCGAGTGTCTCTTGGGCCTTTACAGAGGGGACATTATTCTTTTTTTGAATCTTTTAAATACTGTTCAGTCATTCCCACAAATTAATTCTAATTCAGTTCTGATGTCGTATCTATCAAAAATGCCTTTTAGTCGTTGGTTTACAATTGTATATTTTTGGTATTTTCTTTCGACATCTCTGCCTTGTTGCATTTACTCTAAAATCATTTCAATGATGGATTCCTCCAGGCGAAGTCTATTCGTCATTTCGTCAGTTCGACTCTTTTTCTGTTCGGCAATTTGTCCATTCGACATTTTGTTCGTTCAACACAGTCTGTTCATTTTGTCCATTCGTCATTTTGTCTTTCGACACTTTCTCCTTCGACACGCTGAGCAAGTACCTATCACAAAATATCACAGCTTTCCTATTTGAATTTTCTGATGTATCATAATATTTAATAAATAAATAAGTTATTTGCCACTTTCACAACAAAACACCTAAGGAAATCCCCCTATTGAATCGTTAAGTATTTGAGATTAACAACTTTAAGCAAATATTGCAATAACAATCATAAGTGTAAATACAGGTTATTATTTAAAGAAGTAAAACTGTACAAATGAAAAGATTTGAAAATGACAAGTTTTACCATTTCACTGAAGCAGACGTTAAGTACATGAGAGTGTTATCCCCGCCCACAAATTTCCCTTTTTTAAATTCTTTTTCCCTGATATGTCTCAAATGAACCTGTAGAAAAAATGAGGAATGGATAAAAAAGGAAGAAAAGCATGGAAAAAAGAAGGAAGGAAAGATAAGCTGAGAATAAAGGAAAAGGAAAAAAGTCGTAGAAAGATACAAAAAGAAAAGGAAAATGCATAAAATGAAAAAGAAAAGCATGAAAGAGAGAAAAAAGGAAGGAAGATAAGTAAAGAAAGGTAAAGAAAGATACGCGTAGGAAGAAAAAACATAAAATATAAAAGAAAAGGACCGAAGAAAGGGAAAGATGGAAAAGGATAGATAGATAGATAGATAGATAGATAGATAGATAGATAGATAGATAGATAGACAAAGAGAGAGAGAGAGAAATAGGAAAAGACTGAGAAAGAAAGAAAGAAAGAAAGAAAGAAAGAATGAAAGAAAGAAATATTGTAGAACATTACGAAGTAGAAAAAAAGATTACGTTCAGGTGATTTTTCCCAAATGGTGGTATAAAGAATGTTAAAAAAATGATTGAGAAGGGTTGGAGGGTAAAGATGGATAGAAAGAGGTGGGGGGGGAGCATGGAAAAGAAAGAAAGAAAGAAAGAAAGAAAGAAAGAAAGAAAGAAAGAAAGAAACGAAAAAGACGGCGATCGAGAGGGGACTGGGGTTGAAGGGGCGGGGAGACATAAAAAAAAGGGTGGAAAGAGGCATTTTAATTTGCTTCCATTTCTTTTTCTTCTCTCCGCGACCGCCTCTTTTCGCTAAACAACAACAACAACATCAACAACTAATAACAGCAAATAAGTTTCAATCACCCTCACTACCATCGTCACTTAAAATAAATAAATAAATAAATAAATAAAAAGCGACAATGAAGACGACGGCGATTGTGATATATATTCATGTAT